TAATTAGATTTATAAGCATCTTCTTGAAACAATATCGATTGATATCTAATTTTACTGTAATTTGCAAGAGTATGTTGGGTCAAATATAGCGGTTGTTTTATGTGGCGAATGTTAGAATTAGTATCATGTGGTTGTATTATCAAATGCTAATCAGAAGGTAAGTATTTCACATTATATTATGTTATTTATTGTTTAGGTCAAGGAGGGCGTGAGAGGTTTTTTGATTTTTTGCGATTGAGTGATCGTATTTCATCAAAATTTCTGGGATCAAAGCAAATTAGAGTTCTGCATACCCGGCACATGTCTTGTGCCCAGCATTTTAGTTCCTGGCACTTTGTGCTGGTAACTATTTTCAGTTCGTGCCATTAAGTTTTGTGTTGGCACTTTTGTGGCCAGGCACCCAGAGGCATGAATTACCTGACATAAAAATGGTCCAAACTTACATAAAACCAATTTTATATCTTTGTGGGTATGGCACAGAAGTGCCGGCCTAAAATTGCCTGGTGCCTTTGTGTTCATAGGCACAAGGCACTGGCGCCCGGCATGGTGCCTATCTGCCGGCATGGGCATTTGCAGACCCCTAATTTCCATAGAATCTTGGTTAAAATCAAATCCGGGTAAGATTCGGCGTCTAATTATAATAAAGTACAAAATATTAGAAGCCGGATTTTGATTTTTAACCGAAAATTATCAGGACTATATGGAAATGATCAGTAATTTGTATATGCTTTGTTCTGGAAAATGAGTATTTTCCGGAACGATAATCTGGGATACCTTTTTCGAAAAATTATTTACGATTTAGGCTACATACAGTGTAACGACTATTATATACAATACCGTAAGGCTAAAAATAAAGGTTTGTAATACCCGAATTGTTAATAGCAGAGACGGAAATATGAACCTGGATATAGCAATTTTGTTAAAACCAAAAAAATGCCACTGGAAGTTACTGGAAGCCACTGGACGTTACTGGAACTTCCTTCCAGTGACATAAAATCCTCACTGGAAGGGGTCCAGTGACAACTTATCACTGGAAGGAATATATTCCTTATTCCTTCCAGTTAGTTCCAGTGATCTTCTAGTTCCAATAATTTTCACTGGAACGTTCCAGTGGGCAACACTGGGTTAGGGTGTTTCATATAAAGTTAAAACTAAGTGGGTGTATAGTAAAATCGCGCAAGAAAAACTTTTTGTTAGAGCACTAAAGGTGGTTTATTATGCAGATTTTTGAGAAAGAAGGATTTTTGACAAAACGAACGTTTGTTTTGATCGTGCTACGTTACATCTGATCCTCGAAATCTGATTTGTAGATCATGCATAACCTGGCACAGATTTCAGAAGTGCCAGGGTTTTGTCATTTTGCCAAGGTTTTGCCGGGTTTAGTTTCGTCTTTCGCCATTTATCAAAAATGGTTTTGCTTAACGACAGTATTCAATAGGGATGGCAAATGTTTTTATTACGTAATTAAAAACGGGTGAAAATAAATTAAAAACAGGTGTGCATTATTTAAACCAATATTCGGACTTTAAACATCACATGTTTTAAACAGGTGAAAAAATGGTTTAACCGGTTTTTTTACCATCCCTAGTATTCAAAGCCTTTATTGACGGACGACAAAATTAGGTTCAGTGTTTTATTAGCACGAAATCCTCAGATTTCGCTTAATAACTATAACAATTATAAATCACGAATAAATTATCAGTAAAAAAATCAATTGGTCTGAATAATGGTTGGTTTTTTGTGGGGTTATTTTCAAATATTAGTATTTTATCTGTACTATTTACATAATGTATAACATATATGAATCGGAATATTTTTGATTAACACCCTGTGATATTGATATAATGATCAGGGTTTAAAAAGAAAATTACAACTTCATAAATACATTTCATAAGACATACAAATGTAAAATACGGATGTAAAAAAAAATACATAAAAAATAAATCGATAAATTACAACATATAATTAGAAAAAGGTCAAAATAATGCGACTGAACCCTCGATTATTGATAATTCTGCAATTTATTGTGGGTATGATGATAAAAAACTTGTTATAAGAACTCATGAAAATTTACTTAGGGATTATTGACTGTAATAACATGTATGCCTTCAGTTAGAATCAAGTTTAATGGTACAACTTCACAAAAATGATTATTCCCACCTATAAGCATGCCGGCAAGCAAAACATTGGGAAGTAATTCATTAAGATATTGGTGCACAGGTGCGCCACTATTGCCATCACAACCCATATTAGTTACTTTAACAACACTATACTTTTCACCCCCCATGGTGATTTCAGCATTAATTGCTATTATCTCACCACACTGGACACGTGAAATATCAGCGAAATAACCAGATTTACATACAATAGTTCCAACAGTATCTAGATCTACAGTACCGATGATATGTAGTTCTGGGTACTCTGTATCGTCTGTATTTCTTATGATTGGGACGGCTCTAATATCATTTTGTTTCAAAATAAAACCTCTATCGACTCCTGAGATAGTGTGCGAAACCATTGGCCCAATATAAAGATCCGTCACTTCACTATCCCATGGTAAATGATAAAAATCAACGAACTCATCTGGGTTAAATGGGCCATTACTTGCACAATGCCCTGCACTTGCTAAGTAAGTCGAACCATTTGTTGTTCGCACCCAAAAACCTGCAGAACATACAGATGTAAAACCAATATTATGTATGCCATCTCCGCCAAGGACTAGATGTTCTATTTGACGAGATTTTAAAATAGACGAATTATTCGTCATTTCTATCTTAGGTTTCTTAGGTTTTTTTGAGTTATCAGAATAGACGATAATCGGATTAAGTTTGTTAGCATAATCAACAAATGCTCTGTTCCTTCCATCATCAGTATGGCTTAAACTTATGACTATATTATTAACTTTGTATTCATTACTTAACGTAAAGTTGGTTGCACCGCATTTTTTAACTAATATCAACAATTTTTCAAAAGTGGAATTTAATTCAGATAAGGATTTATTTACTTTTACGAATGATAATAAATTTAGGTATGGCTGCATCACAGGGTTATTTGTTATGATTTTATTCTTAGACAAATCTATCGTGTTGATTTTTATTTTTATTTGCTTTTATATCTATATAAGATCCACCAAAGATTGACGCATTGAGTAATGTTGTTAATAATTGGTTTCCCTTAGTTAAGATTTTTTCATTAGCTAATAAATTAGGCACTTTGTTTTCTGATACCTTCAAATATTGTGCCACTGGTGCGTAAAGAGAGTAAAGAGATTTCGTATAAACTAAATGATTTTGTAATGTCAATGAAAGTAATAATACGTTTAGTATTATGAAAACGTTTTTCATGATTGCTACTGATGACAAAAAAATGTTGGTTTGAAGGTTTTATATATTATTTACTGTTTTTACTAATTATATATATAGTATATTTATAATTTTTTTTATTAATCTTATACGTTTTTATTTCTTTCTGCGCTAGAGATATCGTTATTCTTACTTTATAAGTATTATCACCTTAAATTCCATATCAAATTTTGGTGGTTTACATGTGAGCCCTGGTGCAGATAGAATGATGCTATAATAAAGTTTATACAAGGCAATGATGTTTTTATTTGAATATACTATTCATATTTATATTCGAATATTTATTGTTCTTAAATCGATTCTAAAAACCACAATCGATGATCGACGATCTAGAATCGATGATTGAATCCTAAATATAAATTTGCCATAACTAAGTAATATTAAAATAAAATTTGTATAGTATTTTAAAATGTTATAAGTTATTTAGATTATATAAATTAAATGATAATTGTATTATTTAAATCTAGATAGTTGCGCGACGTTATCGCGCAAAACCTGGAATGGAAAGTCTAAAAAAAGAAAACAGTTGATTATCAACTTTGACTACTAGATAAAATGTAAGAATTTGCGTCTAACCAATTACTTTACCCTTCAATTGATTGCTTTTTCATCACTCAAATCAATCAACGTGTCATTTATTTAGGCGTCAAGTAATCATCTAAATATACAATACTGGTAAATGATGAAAAATTGTATAATTGTTGTTTCCATCTTTACAATAAATAGCTTAGCATCTACAGTAAATATCTATAAGCATGAATGGATTATTTTATTTGATCTCCAAGTCACATCAAAGTTATTGCATTACCTGCCAACCCAAATTTTTTAAGCAATTCAGTTTTTTTTGTTTTTAATAACTAATACCCTGGCTCAACTCTCTCACATGATTTTTGTCAGGAGGAAATTTACAACTGGTTAGTATATTATTTACTC